GTATTGTGACACGCAACTGTTACGCACAAATATTTGACATTGCCTATTCACACGCGAGAAGTTCACTTCCCGTATCCCGAAGCGGGTATTTTTTTTCCCCGTTTCAATTTTTTTTCCCTCTCGCCTCCCTTGTCTGCTTACCCGCCGGGCGATTTTCTCCAATTTATTTTTGTCGCGAACGATTCGATGTGCGTTGCATGCGTAAAAAACGCATCCCACACGAATACATTGACGAATCTTTTTCTCTCTTTCTCTCTCGGTGGAATCAGCGAATGACAGATTCCCTCGTTGATCCGCGGAAATAAAATTGCAATATTGCGAGGAGGAAATCAGTCGAAGCGTTGACTCGTTATTTTTCATATTTGCAGAGGAGAAAAGAGAACAAGAAAATAACTGATGCGAGATGATCGATTGCAGTACTGAATCTAAATTGGTAGGTCAGAGCTCTCTAATGAGAATTTAGACTTAAAAAAAACTACTTTTTATTGGTCCGTCATATTTTAACAATTCCTGAGAGAAAGAAAGAAAGAAATAAAAGTAAGAAAAAAGTAAAATGAAATGAGAAAGAGAAAAAAATAGTCTCAATCTTTGTTAAAACTACTACTCTGTATATACAAAATTGCGGCTCGTATCCAGACTTTTATTGGAGAACTTTTACCGAAGCTGTTATTGGAGATACTAAAACATTCCTATTTAAGGAAGGGCTCGTAGTAGTCGATAATTACAGCCCTGCAGGTAGGATCGGCGGCCCTGAAGAGGACGCTGAACGCAAGAAAGGTGGAAACGTGTGTATACGGGTAGCAAGGGAAAACGTGAATGGAAACGGAAATGCGATAAGGCGACGGTAGAGCCCCGTTTGAACGTGATGATATATAACCGCGATGATGGGCAGCGCGATGCCGCGAACCTCGGCGAGCACGTACCAGTTTTCACGGCACCTTCAATCCCGTAAATTGTGTGGTGAAATTTTATGGATGCGCGTGCAGACGCACGACTCGTGTCTCGTCGTGATGACAAAATTACCCGACGATTTCGGCGGAAAAAGAAAGAGAAACACAGTACCATTGGCAACTCGTTCTCACGGCGAGCATAAGATCGTTGCTTTTACCTTATTACGTGCTTAAAATACTCTGGACCGACAAAAGATGCTGAAAATCAGCGTCTCTGAACCCGCCAATTTTATTACTCAAATCGATAAAACCAACGCCAATTCTCGAAATCGATTGCGATAGTAATTTCGAAGTAATTCTGTCGAGTAATTAAATCATGGAGATATTGATTAAATCTGCGATTTAATCGCACACGTGTGTCCGGAAGTGTTGGAATAATTTTACAGACCCTGCATCAACGCGGAGAGACGAACAGTGCCGTTAATTAACAATTGATATTACTATTGTGAACAAACGACACAAGAGCAGTAAAACACGACGCTCGCTATTTACTTCTCGGCGAACTTTCTACTCGTCCATACTCTACGTTTGCGAGTCTACTATATACTAAAACGACCAATCCAAATTATGAATTATCTCTTTTTATCTCTAAGTATGAAAATAAGTGTAAAATGTAATTTTGAATTAATGTGTGAAGAATTTTATGATTTTTTTTATTTAAAAATCCAGATATTAGTCGTAAAATATTATTCATAAAATATTTTCAAAAGTATATTTTAGAAAAGTACAATTAAAAAAAATAAAACATGATCTCGTAACTTGATGTAATTTTTTTGTGATCTCATGTTATATTAAACGTTATTAGTTATTTATAAATACAATAATAGTAACATTGTTCATATAATATGTTTCAATTCATTTTAATAATTATAAAAAAATTTTTCTATTACGATTTAAATACGACAAAAAATTAATATTGAATTTCTTTAATTTTGTTAATGTCCCTCTTTCTCTCTTTAAGATTGATCACCTTTTTGTACACACAGGTATCGGACACGTCGGGCGTGCCGGTGAAACAATAGAGTTCCTAGAAGTAAAAGTCTAGTCAATCTTGTAGTTTAATTAAGAATGGCGTATGTACGCTTATATGTACATAATAAATCAAAATTGAAAAAGCAGATGGAACTTTGTTTAAAAATAATTATAGAGAGCATGCAATTCTACTAGAACTAACGAGAAATGTCGCTGGAATTGCAATAAATTATCAACAACGACACTTTTTTCCAAATGTTGTAATATCTTGTACGTTTAAAGTCTATTAAAATTAGTAATTGAAATTTTGTTTTCAAATTATATACATTGATATTGAATTGGAGCACTAATGGGAACAGTGGCCAAAAATAGAAACATTTTTCTTTTTCTTGTACTTTAGAGAGAAAGTATCGTGCTAGATTCGCGAAATTAGCGCGCCATATTTTCATTTTTTATTTTTTAATATAAGAAGTACTGTAATTTTTCTATTTTAATAACACAGTATAGAATTATGCTTATAGAAAAATGCTGGAACTGGTATTTTTTTTTTTTTTTTATATTAATTTAATGACGTGCTAACTTCATAGATCCTGTATCTTAGCGATATAATCTAACTAATTCAAGACAGAAGGAACGCTGCTTTCGTGTCATTGTTTCGCTCGCGGTGCGAACAACAAAGACCCCGGGTGAAATGGCGAACGCCTGGAGGTGAATTCGCGCGTCTAAGATGCGAGTTAACGTTCGCGTCGTTCACGCGGCACAAAGCGGTGAAACGATTTACAATTGCTTCCGCAACGAGAGCGAGCGCCGGTGCCGGTGCCGTGCAACGTCAGTAACGTGTATACAGTGCACAGGATCCTCTCGTTATCGCAGACAGACGAAACGTTTCCCCGCCCAGCCTGTCTACCGCGGGATTCGTTTTTCTCTGGCTTGAACACGCGGCAAACGTCGGCGTGCAATCGTGCGCACCTTCCGTCTCAGTCTTAGTTCATCGCGGAAGTCCTGATACGCATCTTCTTCCTGCGCTTAGTAATTTTCCTTTCGCGTTTGCGGGCGCGTTAAGCCCGATCTACATAACACGCAAAACGTAGAATTGCAGGTCGCAAGTGAAACGTATCTTATAATAGGTCGTAGGCCGCAAAATATAGGACGCAGGACGCGAAAGTTCACCCAACTTCCTGCATCCTGTAACCTATTATAATTAAAATACATTAGGTTAGTTTCTAGTCTTGTGACCTGTGACCCGCATTATTCTGCTTTTGTAGATCGGGCTTTAGCCTAGATCTACAATAAGCCTTAAACCGTAAAAAATTGATCAATTGCAGTCGAACGCGAGGAGAATAATTAACTGGATTCGTCATTTCTTATGGCTTAAAGCTTAAGAAACTTATTGTAGATCCGGACTTATTCTACAATAGGGTGCAAGTCGTAATCCGTAAGAAATTGGCCAATCACAGTTGAATATAAAAAAATAATAGATTATGTTTACTTAATTTCTTACAGCTTGCGACCTATTGTAGAACATGCTTTACACTTTGATTCGCACTACTTACAGCGACTCTAGGCTAAGTCACGACGACGGAAAATAGAAATTAAAAAATCCGACGACACTTTTCTATGTGCCGTGCGTTCGTTTACTTGCTCGTTCAGTAATGTAAATTTGTGATAATCGAGCCGTAATTAAGACTACATTTACATGGTCATCCTTAATCAGGTTTAATAACATCCGTAGTTATAAATTGATCAATCATAGTTATTTCATTCTTCAGAGGAATAGTTATGATTGGCCAATTTATATTAATAATTACGTATATTATTAAATTCGATTAAGGGGTCCCCCCCCCAGGGGGGGAGGGGTAAACGTAAGTATAAGTTTCGCATTTAACTTTTCGATCTATCGTTCTACAAGAACAGATTACATCTAGCGCTCCTTTTTCAACACATTTCTGGAAATATATTATTATGCAAAAATATTCGTGGACACAAAATTATTCTAAACTTTCATCATACACGTGATATTTATAACGAGAAAGTTTAGAACTTGTAATTTTTTGTTAAGCACGTATTCGCATAAAGTATATTTAATATTTTTAAATATTGTGAGCGCATATTTTAAAGTTAAATATATATGCTAAATTTAACTAAAAGAAAAAAATAGGATATCAATAGACACAAAGGGAAAAGAGTAAAGCAGATGAATAGAGATAAATTGATTTTATTAAAAAAAAAAAAAAGAAATCTGGAAGCAGAAAGCAACCCATAGAGCATACACGAATGCCTCGAGATATAATCACAAAGAGATATCGCTCCCTTTAAAAGTGACACAACTCGACAAACGTGATTTTAGAGTTTAGAGTTATTATTACTATGAATAAATCGAATAAACATTATCTTCAATCATAAAAAATGAACTAAAAACTTATAACTTCATAAAAAATTATAAAATAATATGAATTCAAAAAAGATGGTTTTTTTTATGAAACGAAAATGACATTTACTTTTCGTCGATATTAATTAGATTGAATTAGTTGATAATTTTTTATCAAGTTAAAAAATACACTCATATTATATATGCTTTTCGCGTTTCCTTCTACGTGATCTCCAATCTTTTTTTTTAAATAAAATCAATTTATTTGTTTTTTTTCTTTCTATCTAGATATTCTTTTCTTTTCCATTTTGGCGCATATATTATTTAACTTTAACACACGTTTAAAATATTTAGAAAATTTTAACGTACTTTACGGAAATTCTTCGGCTTTTTGGGAAAACTAAAGTTTTTAAAGTTACGCCTCTTTTGAAATAAAGGAACGATACATAATATGAAAAAAAGCAAGAAAGAGAGACAGTATGCGAAGTGTGCACTGAAGCGACGACAAGTCAAGTGCGCTCGCTCTCGGCGAGCGGCTGACACGTCGACCCGTCGACGTCGACGAAGCCCCGCGTCCTTGCCAGCTCCCTACTCCGGAGTACTCTTCTCGAGGAGTGGGAATCCGTTCATCCCTACTACACCGTCCTCACCACCCTCTCCTCCGTCCCACCATTACGCCGCGCTATGTAAGAGCTCGCACATGTTACCCCACGTTCCAGTCTCGCAGCGGCACTCGCGAGCGTTGTTTCGTACATAGGTAAACGCGCGGCGTGGCACGGATCGCTTGGCGGACAGGAAGGGGGCATAAAACGCTCTCTCTCTCTCTCTCTCTCTCTCTCTCTCTCTCTCTCTCTCTCTCTCTCTCCCTCTCGCGCACCAGAGGACTCAGAGGGAGAGAGACACCCACGTAACTGCGGACTCAGCGCGCACAGGTACGCGAGAGGGGAGACCGCGAGGTGTGTGTATTGTGTGCGTGTGTGTACGTAACGTATACGCGTGCGCGCGCGACGAGTTCCCTTTTCAGTGACTCGCGCGCCGCGGAGTCGCCGCGACCTCGTCGTTGAGTTGCCACGTTCGCCGAAGGCCGAAGAGCAATAGTTTAATCGGGTGGAGTGATAGGAGAAGAGGAGAGGAGCAAGTCCACCGCCGTTTCCGTGCCCACTCAGTATCCCACATCAGCACTCTTTTCTTTTTTCCATTTATTTTATCCTTTTCCCCCTCCCCCTTTTTTTATTACTTTTGTACGAACCAGCTCGACGCGTTCGCGACGCGTGTGGAATTACTCCAGTGGGAAGTATTTGCGTCTCCGATTGACCTGTCCGCCCCACGTCTTCGACGCGAGTGTTTGAGAGAGTGTGAAAGAGGAAAGGAAGTTCCGCGTTTCTTGAGGACTTCTCGCGGTGTGGATATAGGAACGGAAATTGAAGGGAACCACATTCACCTCACTTCATTGGGATAACGAGCGACGCGGATATCAAAAAAACACGTGAGTATCCCGAGAATTCTGAAATGCGATTATTTCATAAGAGTTCAACCTTCCGAAGCCTCCTCGCGAGATGATCTTGACACACGCGCGTGGGTGCGATGGGACACGTAACGCTGGTGCACGCGCTGCGCATACCTCGCGTTGCGTAATCGTGCATTCTTTTTTTTTTCCCGAACGATCGAGAATACACCGCAAGAGAGCGAACAGTGCAAAGTCGAGCAACGCGATTCTGCTCAAGACGTTACACGTTAATATTTGTTATCGCTTCGACAGTTAATGCTGAAATTTAACGGAAAAAGCTGTTTTATAAATATCTGAATGAAGTAGCTGAATTTTCTACTGGGAAAACTTGGTGCACCACTAGTGCACCTGAGTGTAATTATAAAAAATCAATAAACATATTTTTAGTATTAGTGCATAGTTTAAGCCTTTTAATTATTAATATTCTTTGTTGTCATAACCTCGTAATAATAAAAGGATTAAATTATTTGAATATTGAAACTGTATAAAGTGATTTGCACTCAATTGCATTAGTTTTTTCCAACGGAAAATGCTATAAGATTTTTTAATATAATTCATTCTTACACTTTGTTTTGTGGTCCTCAATGAATATAAATGTATAAGCCAGTTATATTGAAAAATCTCACAATAGTTGCAAAGCTGCGCTTTTTCCGCTGCATGCAACTAATGGTTGTTGGTTTGCCGATGGATTTCGAGGCAGAAAGTGAAGCATTCTTTTTGCGCACAATTTTCTACACTTTTCGTTTCATCGCGTGATTTTCCGATTCGCAGAAGTTGAGTGGCGAAACAGACATTCATGTGATATTCACGCCACTCGGTACCTCAATGCTCTTATCTTCCGCTTGTTGTCACCCATGAACGTTGATAAGCTCGCGACCAAATTACAAGCTCATGTACAATTATAAACGCAGAGACTAAACTGATTGCGCAGAAAACTGACCGAGTGACATTTCTCGGCTCATCTTCTCATTGCAAAACTCCAGTTCAACGGGAATTTTGAGAACGTCTCGTCGTCGGAAAATCAGCCGTGAATAGTGATACATTAATTCATGAATGTTCATTCAAGAAGCTACGCGAAAATCGGTAAACAATTATCGAAAAACCGTCAAACAAAATTACTATCCTTGGTCGACGTATAATACGAAATCCTTTTGAGGTTTCATGATATCGGTCTTTAATTCTTTCCGTCAATATATATATCCGTATCCGGATATCCATATATCGAATTTTAAACAGAAAATACTTTTATATTTTTATATGAATTTCGTCATCAGAGACATCTCAAAAATCTCACTTCTGGAAACAACAATTTTATACAAGCTGTATCTCATTTTCACTTTGAAATTTTTAGTAGGAAACATCTTGTGAAACAGAGCAGTACACTATTAAATCTTTATTAATAGAAACAATTTTAACTTAACATAAGTTGCTCAATCTTATCGTTATTTTATACTAAAACAATTATTTATTATATTTTACACTATATAGTGTCAAATTATACAATGACTTTATACAATGACGTGATAATATAGTGTCAAATTTAATTATCGTTTTGGTAAAAAATAATGATATATTTAGTAAGAGCAATGGCGACTAACATTAGATTAAATTTGACTCTATAGATACAAGGATACATTAACAGTGATACAAGGATAAAAAATTACGCATTGACAGAAGAGTCAAAGTGTTGAAAATAATTAATAAGTGACGTATATTCGAATTCGCACGCGAGCTCGGACCCATCGAGCGCGAACCGTTCGCGAATAAATAATCGGTTGGGTACGAAACGAACCGGGCGTCACGCGCGACGTGGGTGCGTAAGCAGTCGCGGTCTCACGCGTGCGACACGCCGTGACGTGACGCCGCAGCGCGCGCATGCACGCGGCCGCGTGCTATTACGTGACGACTGAGAACGGCTCGAGTTCCGTGCCACGCCGACGACGCGACGTATGTAGGTACATATCCTACGACGTAATACACCCGACGCCGACGGTCGCGTCGCCGCTGCTCGATTTTACTCCGTTTCGCGACCGTAATTATGTAGCGCAAGAACAGGTGACGGCCTTGATATCATATCGCGTCTCACGAAATGGACGTAATTAACGATGGACGTTCTTCCTGCAAATATTTGCGAAACGATTTTCGAGTTGCATGAAAGCTCGAGTTGTTTTCAGCATTCGAAACGCGAGATTTCTGAATATTCAGGAACTTTTGATAAATTCCTCTTTTTCAAAAGTATTTTAATAATATCTTAATATCTTAATGTCTGAAATGTTTATAGTGCTTAAAAATATAAAATATCTAGATTTAAGGTAGTAGAAAGTAAAATAATAATATAAAATAACCTTATAAAAAAGGTAGTCTCTAAATTCTTTGGAGTGGAATTTCTCACTCTAAAGAGTGAATATTGAATCAGTCGTAAAAAAAATAGCTCAGTTTTCAATTTTTCAGAGTGAGAAATTTCTGATTCTAAAAGTTTTAGAGAATAGAGAAAATATATTTTCAGAACATTTAAGTTATATTAGAGTTTAAAAAATTACAATTTCAAGATTTCAGATTCTCGTTCTTTATTTAATATGATTTGATGTATTCAGCGATATATCACATCGCTAAACGTAACGCAATCGACGCGATAAAGTAGAAGTAGATAAATTGCTTTTTATTTTCCAATTTAATTCTTGTCTATCGTATATCGTAATTCTCGATGATATTTCTCGATGATAAACGAGCTATAACGAATCGTATTCCAATCATATTTTTGTAATTTAGTTAAGATAGGTGACAAAACTTATCACACACGTTCATCCTGCGACGCAGTCGAATATGATGTTAAATAAACTGTTTCCTGTTATTTGTCCATTAGACTGTCCTATAGTAGCAATTTCGTTGTTGGCAACGAATGCAAAATGGCTTTGTTTATTAGCATAATGCTAAATACGAGCAACCGTTACCGTATTTCCGCCTCGTTAGTATCGGAAATTTCTTTTATGCAAGCAAACGTGGATAGTTTAGCTATCGAATAAACTGGTTTGAGCGAGGTAACGCGGTGTAAGAGAAGATAAATAAATCCATTTCGTCTCTCAATCCATTTAAATTCGCTTTCCCTCTCGCATTTTGCTGAGACAGCAAAACATACGCACGCCCGTCGATCGGTTTAATTCTATTAAAAACGTCACTCATGCACGCGGAGACGAGACGATTAATTTTTTCAAGGCTTAATCCGTTGAGGACAACAATCTGGAGCTAATGCCGCGTGACTCACGCTCCTCTGTATGTGTGAACACGAATACAATCATTATGACGAGTTACGTTAAGGGTCGCCAGACCGACGGAAAGTCGGTTTTTAGCGTCTGTTATCAAGATACACATGTTGACATACGCAGTCATTCCTGGGATTAACCCGGTTTTTCATTATCTTGTTAACTTGTGATTATTAAACTTAACCTAATATTTCACCTAATGAGCTTCATTCGTAACATCATCATAAATGAAGCCTGTTGGATAAAATATCAGTTAAGCTTAAACATAACCAATAATGAAAAATCAGACCTGTAATGATTATACATGTTTACGGACACTAGCTAGGTCCAGTTCCACAACTCGTGGTTAACTCTTAACTTAGGTTCACTTTATTTCTCATCTCTTTCCAATTTTAAAATTCGAATAGCCTCGGTTTAAGAGTTAATCGTGAGTTGTGAAAACTGGGCCTTAATCGGATTTAATAACATCGTAATTAGAAACTGAAACTGGCCAATCACAGTCATTCTATTTTTCAGAGAAATAACTATGATTGATTAGTTTCATAACTACGGATGTTATTAAACCCGATTAAGAGTGTCCGTGTAAATATAGTCAGTATATCGTTCATTTTCTGAAGAAATCGCGCAATCGACTTATCGCACGACACGATAATATTCTCGATAATTCTTCGCAATATCATTGTATATAAGTCGAGTGAATGACTCACTTGACGAAGATGAAACGAGAAGCGATCGCAAAAGCGGCATTTTTTCCATTCGATATCTTCGTGAAATTTTTACAAAACGCGGCGCTTATAACGAGAATAAATGGTGGGCTTTTGCGAGCGGATACGCAAATTTATTTGCACAGCTGGCACATCACATCTATCAATCGTCACGCGGTACTTGGCGCTCTTACTAACGTTTGCCGGCCTCCTGCTGGAAAAAAGACTCGATGTACCGTAAATTCCGTTCGGCTGTGCCGATTGCTCCGCGTGCGTTGTTAAAGCATTAACGGGATAACACGTCGCTTATCGAGTAAACGCTCGCGGTTCGCGATGTATATGTATCTTTTCGCGGCGCGTACGCGCTTTTCCGGAGCCGAGCAAATTGCCCGCCCTGCTCGACTATCGAAATCAGATTAACATCGATTTCCCATTCATCGATCTTCTCCGCGTTTACTCTTTCTCTATCTATTTATCTCTCTGTTCCTCTCTCTCTCTCTCTCTCTCTCTCTCTCTGTCCCTTTCTCATCCTCTCTCGACTTCTTTCGTTTCCGTTGTAAACAACAAAGTGCACGTTCTGACCGTCCGTCACGGAATTAATCACAGTTTAATTGGAAAATCTCAGCGCGCAAATACCGTCGCTCGCGATAGGCAAATACATGGGTCGTCGAAAGCGGTGGCAGTCACGTAATATGCGAACTGCATTGACATCACCCGACTATGTCGCTCGCGCTCGCAGTCGAATCGATCGACTCGCACTTGAGATACATGAAAACAATTCCTGACGCACCTTTTCGATAACCTTTTCTAATCTTTGAGCGCATTATATAACGAAAACTTACGGAGTTGTTGATCAAACCGCCCGATCTCTGATCCTTTCTGATGTTAAAAATTCAACGTGTCAGTCAACGATGAAAAGGATTCGCTATTTAAGAATGTATCATGTATGTTTTTTAACAAAATGAAAAAATTACAGATTAAATATTTATATATAAAAGTAAATAAAAGGCTTGAC